GTTTCTCCTGGAACATTTTTTTATTTCACTGATTTGTTCCTTCTCCGCTAATATTCGAAATTAGTTACAACCAAAACAGAAATCCTCAAATACAAAAGCCATACAGGAAGTAGTTGTGGTGTAGTGGCAATGTCACTGGTCTAGTAATCCACAGATTCAAGCTGATATTATAAAGGTGGCTTATGTGATACAGCTGTTGTGTTTTCAGGGCTCTTGTAGTAGTGTCCCTACCTCTGCATCAGGAGGCTCGAGTTCAAGTCCTACCTGCTCCAGAGGTGGGGAATAACATCTCTGAACAAGCTGTATAGAAAATATATACAATGATAAACTTTTCCTTCCATGAGACAGGTCCCTTAGTGGATGAGAGACAGATCATAAGCAAGGAAGGAGAACAAGAGGAGGCATTATACTCAACGTCACCTTGTTGCCATTGTACTTTACCTTATATCTCTTTGCAGCCCAAGTCTTCCTCAAGCTTATCATACAAATAATATGTGGGAATATAATCTTGAGTTTTAAAGGAATTCCTTAAAAGTGGAATAAGTGAGATATTCCATCGCTGTCCACTAAGCATCCAACATGTATATTAGATTCAATTATGGTTTGTGTATTGTCTACCTTCAGTCATAATATTACAAGTAATTATTTCATCATTTATGAAACAAAGAGGTATAAATGCACCAAGAAAGCAATTGGTGGCAAACTGCCAGTGCGTAAAAACATAGAAAGCTTGCAGCACTTGCGAAGAGACTGCTTAGCTCATCATGTCTGTGCAGGCTGAACAACAAGCCATCCAGCCTACTTCCCAGTAGTTGCTTTATAGCTCTGCAAGTCACAGTACCAACCAGGCACATTTTGAATGAGTTGAGGGTTTCTGCCTCCTTGCCGCTGTCTGGTAATGAATTCCAGATGCTTATTAGCACTGGATGACAAAGAATTTCATTTCCTCCCTAATCTTTCTACCAATCATTTGAATTTATGGCCCCTAGTCCCAACTAACTACACCCTTCCCATCCATTAGGCCACGCTCAATTTGGTATATCTCAATCAAGTTTCCTCTTAGCCTCCTATGTTCCAAGGAAAACAACCGTAGCCTACCCAATCATTCCTCATAGATACATTTTTCCAATCCTGGAAACATTCTTAAAATTTCCTCTGCACCCTCCCCAGTGCCATTTCATCCTTTCTGTAATGAGGTGGACTAGAATTGCACACAGTACTCAAAAATTGTGGCACAACTGACTTAGTTACAACGCCAGCATAATCACCCTGCTCTTATAACCTGTGCCTTGGCCAATAAATGAAAGGATTCCATAGCTTTCTTAACTACCTTTTGACCAGTTCTGCTGCCTTCAGGGGTCTGCAGACTTCACTCCAATGTTCGTCACTTCCTCTACACCTCTCCTCTCCGTATTCTCCCATTGTGTATTCCTTTGCCTTGTTTGACACTCCCAAAATGCCTCACACCTCGCTTGTGGTTAATTGGTCATTTTTCTGTCTGTCTATTGTATCTTTCTGCAGTTTACAGCTACGCACCATGCAACCTTGATGCAATGAGAAAACTTCTTTGTACAGGGTATGACATTTATATCCAAATCATTTATAAAACAGAAGCAGGGTCCCAGGTCTAAACCCTTCAGAACTCCACCAGAAAACAGCCTTCAGTTGCAAACATCCATCAAGTACTCTTTGTTTCTTGTCACTGAGCCAATTTGGCTGTTTTTGTTTTAAAAAAAAAAAGCCCACCAGTGAGGCTTATTCAAAAGCTTTACTAAAACCCACGTAAATCGCATCAACTGCAATATCTTCATGAAACCTACTTGCTGTTCAAGAAATTTGATCAAGTTGTTGAGACATGACCTTCCTTTAAATCCATGCTGACTATCCTTTATTAACCCATTCCTTTCCAAGTGACTAATCTTTATTAATCTAAGCCTTGTGTCTCAATTGCCCAAATAATAATTTGCCCATTAGTGAGGTTAGCCTGTTAAATAGTTGATCTATTCCTCACTCCCTTTCCAAGTCAGTGTTCTCATTTTACCAAACCTCGTCAATATAAAGCAGGTTACAACCACAATACAACCACCCTAAATCAAGAGACTATAGGCATTTTGTATGGCAGTGACAAAGTAAGGAACATAACATGAATATGAGAGCCACCCCACAAAATAACCTTCTTCAAAAAATTAAATTTGATAAATCACACAGTAGTGAATGTATCCCTCAAACTGATGGGGGAAAGAATGAGATAAGATGTACAGCAGTGGTAAACAAATCAACTTTTGTAATTTCAAGAGTACAAGTTACATTATCATTAGAAACACAAGCAGTTTATCAAAGTGATAACAGAAATGTTTGTAGGTTTCAGGGTGCATAGGAACATAAGAAATAAGAGTAGGCCATTTGGCCCACTGAGCCTGAGCTGTCATTCTTCAAGACTATGACTGATCATGGCCTGAAAACCAGTTGGCATCTACAACGATTAAGTATAGATTCTGAAACAGCAATTACTTTGAGAAGACGACCTAACACTTCTTCTATCATAGTTCATGGAATTGCCAAATTTAACCTACTACGTTGCAATCAACATCTGAGCTTGTCTATTGTATAGATGTACAGCTTCACGCTTGTTATGACAGAAAATTAGAATTGTCCAATTTGTGTTTCATGGATCAAATCCAGTTCCAAAGATTAATGAAATATAGTACATCATACACTTCAGTAAAGGTTCCTACCAATGTAACAATATTCTAACAGGAGACTAGACTGAATTAGAGATAAAATTTGTATGAGCACATTGAGAGATGTTGGTGAAAACCAAATACAACAGAAAATTTGGGGAGAAGAGTTCTTAAGATAACAGAAATACTGGCAAGTTTTCATTGATTGCTCATCCCAAGATGTTGCTTCTGAGTATTTATCTTAAGCAATTTTTTATAATTCAGTCAACACAAGGCACAGGACCACAGTCACAGAAAAACTAGGTCAGACAGGAGAATTTTTTTGGGAAAACCATTAGGCAAATACTGGAGATTTTATAACAATTGAGCAACATTCATGGCCATTCTTTTCTATTACAACCAATGAAACATCCAATTGTTGCATGACAACATGATGGGATTGAACACAGTCTGATTAATTATGGATCCTGCAGCACAGCTGTGATTTTATTCTCTTCCACTACCATTTCTTGGTGTACTGTTATGAAGTCAGTGTAGGAATCTAACTTGGAACCTCAAGACTCGGAAGTATTTTACACTATAGCATTGTACATGTTGCATGCGGCTTCAAACTGGTAAAACTGGTTGCTGCTGGAAATAGCAAGCACATTACAGATTTTAATGTAAAAAGCTATAAAAACTTCATATATTAGCAAAACGTTACCAGATTATACCACATTTAGTAAATTCCATAATTCATCAGTATTAAGATCATTTGATGGAAGTAACTAATTATGGTTATAATCAAAACATTACAAAATTCTTACCTGTTTGGTTTGTTGTGGTGCTTTATCTCGGTTGGGTGGTGAGAGTGGTATGTCAGCATGGATTGAACCAATAGGAGTCGGCTGAAATTAATGAAATATAGGACACATTACAAATATCTCCTTTTTATTCCCTCCCTTGCCGAAGTTAGCAACTAGAATTCTCTGGCATCCATTCAGATGACGGTTCGTCATGTAGGCTTTAATAGCAAGTGTTGACGTGCTAACTAAGATATATCTTTAAACCTAGCATTTTTTTTTCAATGAATGTCAAAAAATCCATACTTTACAGTAGGGGTCACTAGATAGAAAGCAGAAGAGACAACACTGGGCAGGTTTCTTATAACTAGCGTTATGATCACACTTGATGGCAATATTGTAAAGGCATATTCCATAGTGAGACCTGGCCTTGATAGACTAGTTTCATTTTATTTAATTTTTCAAAAATTCATCTACTTCACCCTTAAATACTTTGTGATCCAGCCTTCACAAATCTCTGGGTTGAAGAATTTCAAACATTCACTACCCTCAAGAAGGAGGGATTCTTTCCCATCGCCGTTTAAATGAGTACCTCCTATTCTGTACCTACGCTCTGTAGTTTGAGATTCTGCCAATAATAGAAACATCTTCAACTACCCTGTAAAACCCCCTCAGAATCTTGATACTTCAATCAGATCACTCCTCATTCTTCTAAACTCTAACGAATAAAGGCTGAACTTGATTAGCTGGTCTTGGTAAGTCAATCCTTCCACCTCAGGAATCTGAGGTGCCATCAATGCCAGTATATCCTTTCTTAAATATGGGGAACAAAAAGGTACACATGACTCCAGATTCAGATTCAATCTCTCTACAGTTGTAACAAGACTCTCACATTTTTAAACTTCAATCACTAGCAATTAAGGCCAAATTTACATTTGCCTCCTTAATCACTTGCTGTGCTTGCATGATTACTTACTGTGTTTCATTCATGACACTACCCAGATCTCTCTGGGCTGCACGTTTTAAAAAAAGCTTTATTTATACCTATACATATCCTTATGTCTCATCACAATATGCCCTCCCACTTTTAAAAAAAAAATTACTTGCTGTGCCTGCATGCTTAGATGAAGAACACACAGTACTGCACTTTTCTGGAGACTCTTTATATGTAAATAATAGTTTGAATTTTGATTCTTCATAGCTAGGTGCACAACATCACACTTTCCTACATTAAACTCCATCTGCCAAGTTTTGCTCACTCACTTAAACCTATCTCCTTGCTGATGCCTTATGTCCTCATCACAACATATCTTCCCAGATGCATTACACTCAGAAGCAAATTTTTCAAATGCGATTTTCCTTTCACAAAACCATGTTGACTGTTTGATTATGTTCAGCTTTTCTAAATATCCTGCTATTTCTTCCTTAATAATAGACCCTAACATTTTCCTAATGAATGACATGAGGCTAACTGGTCTACACATCGTGGCTTTCCATCTCTCACCATTCTTGAGCAGGGTGTCACATTAGTGGTTTTCTAATCCACTGGAACCCTCCCAGGATCTAGTGTGTATATTCTGATCAATGTCTCCATTTTCACTGGAACCACTTCCTTTAAAACACTCAGCTGTAGGTCAAATCCTGGTGACTTGTCTGCCTTCAGTCTAATTAGTGTGCCCAATACATTGCTCCTTGTGATACTGGCTATCATAAGATCTTTCCTCCCATTAGCAGTTTATAAGTAAACATCCCAAAGATAACCAATATGTCCTTTATCATGAATACCCATTCAAAATATCAGTACAAGTTGTCATTTTTCTGTTCCCCAAAATTAATTCCCAAGTTGCATCCTCCAAGGTTCCCATACTTATTTTAGCTATTCTCTTCCCATACGCATATAAACTGTTGCTGTTTATATCTCTTGGTACTTTCCTTTTATAATCATTTTAGATAGCTGCTGTTTAGTTCCTAAAAATTCCCAATCCTCTGGTTTATTACTAGTTTCTGCCACTTTGTTTGCCTTAGTTTGTGACTGGGTACTCTCCGTGAATCTCTCTTTTTTGACTGGAATACATTTTTGCTGAGCATCATAAAATATTTAGTTAAATATCTATCATGGCTCATTTACTGGCTTTCCCCTTAGTATCTCTACTCAGTTCACTTTAGAATCTTTCTTAATACCAAGGATTTGAGTAAATCTCAACTTCCTGAATGCTTCACTTATGTCTCCAGATAGCTTATCTTGTCATTCAACTGAAGTCACATGCTTTCTTGGAAATGCTATTGTGAAGTGTTCAAAATGGCTTTCTGACCTTTTTAAGAAGTCATCTTCAGAGAATTGTAAACAAAAATCCATTTACTCTCTATTTTAGAACCCAAGTTACCAAATAATATTATAAACCTTCATCACACAAGGGGCAGTGAAGTCAATTGAGATTAATTTTCAAATCTGCATTGCTCAGCACTGCACAACGTGATAGTTACCCATCGTGCAGAAATCTGACAAATGAGATTGAAACAGAAATTCCAGGTTTTAGATAGAAGAGGAAACACACTCAGTTAATAAATGGCATTGAATTATCCAGGACAAAAATGTGGGGATTACCAAACTAGGAATATTAATAATAATAATAACCTTCTACTGGACCAGCAAATACTAAATCACAGTGTTGAAATATACTACCAACTACTGATGGAAGGGCTGTAATTTACATACATTTAGTACAGATATCTATTAGCTGTACATCAAAAAGCCAAAAAATCCCTAAAACCAAAAAGGTCCTTTTGTAAACAGACCTGTAGACACACTAAGTTTGGGCCCTTTGGGGAAAAATAAAAACTTCATTTAACCCAAAGCAATGTTTTCTTTCCCCAAAGTGTGGAACAGATGCAAACAGACCCAAATGGACTACAGTGAATCCAAAAATCAAAGGTATTTTTTATCCAAAAGCCCACTGGTCCCAAGGATTTTGGAAAAACAGATTCCCGACTTGTATTTATTTATATTTGAAGTTTGGATTTTTGAATTTGAAAAAGTGGCATATGGGCTGTGTGTTTTTGAAGAGGTGCAATGATTGATTTTGAAGTATTTCTGTTGCTATTGAGCTCTCTTTTTAAAGAAAAGTCAGTTTTGGAGGCTAAGGGAATTTGTTTAAACTGGGAGAGCTCATGAAGAATAGTGAGCATTGTAGTGCATTAAACTTACAGATAGAAGATTCTGGATTTTTTTTGGGGGAGGTGCTTGCAGAAAACACCAATAGGTCAGAAAATAGCTTTTTACTTTCAGTTGGGGTCAATTCTGCAAAGCTCTTAGCTAAAGCTGAATGAGTAAATAAGTGGCACCAGAGAAAGGCAGAAGATAATTTAGGATAGTTAACAATAATTTACCTCAGTGCAAGGAGTTCAGTTTAAAAGTTCCAGATGAGAAAAGTGTTTGGTTAAAATCCTGAAGGAGCTGTGTGAAGCTAAGAAAGTCTAAAGTTCAATGACATGGTAAATCAAGGAAGAGACTATCAGATTCTCAAATATGAGAATTGAAGCCACTATCAAGTCAAATCCTTTATGGGTTGGGAAAAATGAACTGTCCTTGGTGTTTGAGTACTCTACAATGAGATATTGTAGCTATTAATGAAACTGTATTTTTACTATGTGTTTTGAAATCTTTAATTGCTGGCTCTATGTAAATAGCTTGGTTTATTCTATTTTATATTCACTTATTTTGCATAACAAACTTCTGTTTTATTGTTAAAACTAAATCTGCAGCATTTTGTCTTCACTTTTTAGTGAAGATCCATCACATTACAGCCAAAAAAAAAAAACTTCCATTTATCAAGACAGATCAGACTCTGGGAACTAACTCGCCCAATAATATCATCAGCTGGGATCATAACAAATGCAGTGGTCTAAGCCCATCATGTTAACTGATGAATGCTGTGGTTAGGTCACACGTTAAATAGTGCATTTGAACTCCATCTCCAAAGCAAAAGGAAAGTAGTCAAATCCTAGAAACATTACCAGAAAGGGCAACAAAGTTTAACCTAGTATCAGAGAAATTGGCTTCAGGAAAGGTTTAAGAAAAACATGTACTCAAGCATTTGGGCTCGTACAAGAGTGAACTGTGGGACAGAAAGAAAACGAAATAGAACAGAAAGGATTGATCTTTTGAACTATTTCAAATTAAAGCATGATTGAAAAGTAAAGCATCATAGGTAGAGAATGGTAAGTGGCAAGCTAAAGCTGTGTGTGGTTTAACAACTTTACAAAGTATCTACAGGACAGCTACTAGAATGATTCTTAGTTTCAAGAGCCTCAGCTCAGACAGCTCAAGGTCTATTTACTTGAGGGGTCTTGGTTGATATACTTTAGAACCACACAGATAAAGCTGGTCTGATGTAAGGAAAAGGAAGTGGTAGCCTCCCTGTGCATTGATTCTTTCAGCGTAATGATGGAGGAACAGGAAAACTTAAATTTAGGTCATTAACAGTAGGAATGGATAGGTTATCGGGCAGTTCTTTTGCCAAAGAGTAGTGGACCTTGAGAATACACTGCTAGGTGGTGCAGTAGGTATGGATTCATTATACCTCAAGAGGGAGCTGCATTCTTCACAGCTCGATTACTGACTGGATTACATAGGAAAGTTTTTTTTTACATGTAACATTATGAACCTCTTAGATCTGTTTGGCCATCATGATGTGAGATAAATGTGTCTGTAACCACAGCATAGGAAAGAGAAAGTGCAGGCTAAAACTTCCTGTAGTGGCTGAGATGCAGCACTTCTGCTATTTGTGACCATCAAATAGTGCTGTAAAAACCCTACCTTCTTGAACCAATAGGCAGTAGACCTGACTTCCATTTTACTGTCATTTTAACCTACATAGAACCTGTTAAACCTGGCTGTAAGTTACAAAGTGAATGTTTGATGCAAGTTAAGTTAATGAAGTTTATCACCTTTCCAGGTCAGAAATTACCCTGAACATGAGTTGAGTCCTGTGACAGATCATCCATGATCTTGTTGAATGGTAGGGAAGGCTCATGAAGTCAAATGGCCTACTCCTGCTCATGTAAAACTGCTGTCATTTAAGTGGTGGTATGGGAAATGCTCAGTCCAAAAAACTCCTAATCTTGTCAACTCTTGCTAGCATACATTTTAATGCACATCGGAAGTGTTCCCAAGAGCAACCAAAGTAATAATTCTTTATTTATAAGATTACATGCAAATGTGAGATAATTCAATTACAAAGGGCATCACTTGAACTTAACTTTGATGTAGGCTAGGAACAATTATTTGTGAGATAATGATCAAAAATGAGAATTCATGGGTGACTTTCCTGTCAGCTTAAGGTAAATTATCGTGGATTTACCTTTATTCAGCTAAAAAATAAGCAGTTATACCTGAGAACCTGTTGTTTTGCATGTCTCAGATGCTTCCAACCAACCAGCTGACCCACAATGGCAGCAAAAGTTAAAATCAGACATGGACTGAAATTGAGATTCTAAAAGTGAAAGAGTGATCAGAATGACTTCCTTTATCAACTATACCATATTAGGTGGCTCTATCTTCTTGCAGATTTCAGGGTTGAGTCCAAGAGAACTTGATTAATTTTAAAACACTTGTCAAAATTTATAATATACTTACTAGTGGTTTTCCAACCCAGTCATATTCATAATCAAACACAAATCCATTTCTATCAAACAAATCAGTGAAGAGTTTTCTTAGATATTCATAGTCTGGTTTTTCAAAAAAATCAAGTCTTCGTACATAGCGGAGGTATGTTGCCATTTCTTCTACAAGAGAAATTAAAATTTAGATTGAATGTTACACCTCATTATGTCCATTAACAATTCTAAAGAGAATCTAGGGTGAAGTATAATCATATCACCTTAGCTGTTTTCTATTGAGGCTCTGTCCATCTATTTCATTAGTTAAATTGCGAAACTGATATATCTACAGTACTGGTCCGTTTAGGGTGCATGTTCTGATCCAGGTTACATGACTAATTCATCTTAAAATCAAGTGCAACTCATTTATTTACTTTCACATTCTTAAGTCATTTTTCATCTGTCTTAAGTGACATTTTAAAGCATATCATTCAAACTCACCTACAAATGAAATTACATTTGCTCTTAAAAGTATACATTTTGAGAGTCCAAGCCCCATTCCAGAGACTGAATGCTTAAACTAAGCAGCCACTTGGACAAATGTGAACGGATGTGAGCTAACATGAATTTATAAAAGGAAGCAACATCAAGTAATCTAGCTGAATTTTCTGAGCGTGTCATGAATGTGCTATATTTCATATAAATAACATCCATATGGATTTCCGGAGGGTAGTCAATAATGTTTCACATCAGATACTGAGTGCACATGGTATTAGAAACATCTCATGATATAGGTAGGGAATTGCTTACAAGATAGAAGACAAGGCATACAGAATAAATGAGTATGCACTTATTAAGAATGTAATTAGTGGTGCTCCCTCAGATCTGGACCAGAGCCTCAAATTTCCACAACAGAACAAGGAATAGATATGTCTACAATTTTCCAATGACATTTTGGTGGCAAAATTTTTGGATGGCTAAAATAGCAAAGCACATACAAAACTAGTGATCAAAGACAATGCTGGTAAACTGGGGTAATCCATTTTGGACCCAAGAAATATAGGTTAGAGTGCTTCCTAAATTGTACGCAGCTAGGAACTGTGGACAAGAGAGGGATTTAAGAGGCAAATACACAATGAAAGAGTTAGGTTATTGAGGAGCAATGCCACAAAGCAATTCTCCCTGCTACACCCACATCCAAAATAGCTGTAGAGACTCAGTCAATTAAATGTCCAAACTAAGATGAATAGATGTTTATCTCAACCCAAAATCCCTGAAGAATCTAGAGGAAGTTCAATCACAGGGAGACCAGAAAAAAGTCACCCGTCTAAACAGAATGGATAGATCAGTGCCAAATCACAGCCTGGCTCTCACATTTGGGAATATAGGATGGGAATAGGCAAATTCACCCTTCTAGATCATCTCAATGCCACTTGCCCACTCTAATGATTTTAAGGAATATGGGTCTTTAAAGACAGTGAATGCTGTCATGAACCTGCTTAATGATTGAGCTTCCATAGTCCTCTGGGATACAATTGTCCAAATATTCACTTGTCTGAAGGAATTAATCCTCATCACAGTTTTAAATGACCTGCCCCTTATCCTGAAATTGGTCTTTCTTGGTTCTGGATACACCAACCAGAGGAACATTTCACACTGCCATACTAAAGAATCTTCCACATTTCAATTAGATCAGCTCTAATCTTTGAAAGCCTAGAGAGTAGATGGAAAGTCTGCGAATGGTGGAACAGTGAGCAGTTGGAAAGTGGTTGGAAGTGGGAGATGCTAGGGGGTTTTTGTAGGGTTCATGTTTGCTGCAGGGTTGGGAAAGAGGCTATGAAAATCAGAGGAGGCTCCAGGGAGGCATGGGAAGAGGAAGCTGTAATAGGGGGATTTTAGTGAGGAGGCAGGGCAAAGAAGCAGAGGAGAAAGGATGATTGGGGTTGGGTGGGGTGATGAGAAGTGAATTTGGCTAAAAAGGAGTTTGCAGAAGGCAATAAGATTTCAGAAGATGGCTGCAGAAGTGGAGAAATGTGGAGAAATTCCCAGGAGCTGAGGTCTGGTGGGGGCCATGAAGAGAGAGGAGGAGGAGCCTTCCAGAGGGATGACAAGGAGAGAAGCTAGAAAGAATTCCAGGATTTTGGCCCAGTGACAGTGTAGGAATAATGATATAGTTCCCAGCAGAACAGTGAATGGAACGGAGGGAAACTTTCAGTTGGTAGCACTCCCAAATATCTACCTACTTGTCCTTCTAGATGGTAGGCTGTAGAGGTAATGGATTTGGAAAGTATTGCCAATATGGATCCAAGACAGGTAAAATGGAGTTGAAACACAGCAAAGATCCAACTGAACAGGTGCATAGGCTCAAGGGGTTAAATAACCTAACACGTTCTTATGACACTCACAAAAGATTACACATTGTCAGAAGTGCTGGCCTTTGAATGAGCTATTACACCAAAGAATCATCTGGTCAGTGCAGTGTTCAGGTGGTTGTTAAAGATGCATTGACACTACCTGAAGAACACAAAATATCTCCAGATGTCCTGGGAAATATTCCTCTCTCAACTAAAAAACATAAATTAGCAGATCTTAATCATCAGGGCATTTGTTAATTTGACCATATACAAAATAGCTGGTGCATTTCCTATATGGCTACAGTGACAGCACAACAGAATAGTTCATTGTAGGTGCAGCAAAATGTTTCAGAGATAATAAGGTGACATGTTAATGAAAGTCTTTCATTCCTTGTTGAGGTTACAGTATGGTCTAAGAAAGAAGGAATCAAACCTGGGAAATTGTCACACAAGACTTCAATTGGGGTAGCTCGTTTGGTGTCACCTATCTTCTGATACCTCTCCTTTAAAGTGTCAGCCTGTGACAGACAGAAGTCAAATCAATCATAGGTTTAGAAGTTAGATATATCTTAAGCTTAAAAAAAAAACATTCTGGAAATATTTTACAAGATTTTTGTGATATTAATATAACTTCTGACTCTTACTAAAGTGTGCCATCTGAATGGTAATAAGTGTGAAGACAATGTGAAATCTACAGAAGATTCAATACATGTTGGATAGATATATTGATGGGTAATTTTGAAGTGTAACATTTTTATTAGCCATTTCATCTACAAGACTGGAAATTAATTACAGCAATGTCAGCAAACAGAAGCTTGCACAAAGTTCTTCAGTTTGTTTAATGTGATCACAACTCTGTTTGAAGTAAATGCATTTACACCCACAGTCAAACAAATATTGTGAACGAGTTCCACCTCCTCAATATAAAACAATGAATAGCAGCTATTTAGCCATGCACATTTAATACAACAGGTTCAGATCTGAATATTGGTTATCGGGGCACTCAAACAGTTAGTTATAGGTCAACAGCAAGTCTTATTCATGTACAGTATTTGAGAATGAATACGCACAATAAATTAAACGCATTTTACCTGAATGTCACTAATGTGAGATAACTTTATGAATCAAGTAAACTCATCATATACATTGAATTTTGAAAAAGTCAAAAGCAAACTAAGTGGGAATACATAAGTGGGAATTATACAGTAAATGGTAAGGTCCTGAGGGGTTTTATGATACAGAGGGACCTAGGAGTACAAGTACATAGTTTGTTGAAAGCGACATCACAGGTGGACAGTGTGGTGAAGGAGGCATTTGCATGCTGGCCTTCATCTGTCGAGGCATTGAGTAAGAGTTGGGACGGTATGTTACAGTAGCATAGGTCATTGGTGAGGCTGCACTTGGAGTATTGTGTACAGTTTTGGTCAACGTGTTATAGGAAAGACATAGTTAAACTGGAAAGTGTGCAAAGATTTACGAGGATGTTGCCAGGACTAGTAGACTTGAGTTATAGGGAGGGGTTGGCCAAGATAGGACTTTATTCCTTGGAATGTAAGAGAATGAGGGGTGACCTTATTGAGATGTACAAGGTCATGAGGCGCATAGATAGGATGAATGCAAAATAGTCGTCTTCCCAGGGATGGGGAATAGCAAACTAGAGCGCATAGGTTTAAGGTGAGAGGGCAAAGATTTAAGAAGGACCCGAGGGGCAATTTCACGCAGAGAGTGGTGCGTATGTGGAATGGGCTGCCAAAGAAAGTGGTTGAGGCAGGTACAAAAGCAATATTTAAAAAACATTTGGATAGGTACATGGATGGGAAAGGTTTGGAGGGAAATGGATCAAATGTGGGCAATTGGAACTAGCTGGCTGGGCACCATGGACCAGTTTGGGCCAAAGGGCTTACCTCCATGCTGTATTACTCTATGACTCTATATTACAATAGTTATTAGAAGCTTGTATCCAATAGAATGGTGTTTATGATACTTTATTTTGTTGCCGACATTTCTAAAAGAACTGAAGAATACTAAAGTAATTCAGTATAAACAGGAAATCAAGGAATAATGTAAATCATTTCAAGATAACATGAAAAGGAATTTAATGAACTACAGAACGGGAAGTGTATCTACAACACCTTAAAAATTGAACTAAATGAGTTAAGAAGGGTGGAGATGGCAGGGCATATTTTAAATTTACGATTAGGGACATTCAAAACCAATTACCTCACCTTTCTAGCAGGCAAAAAGTAGATTTCTGAAAAATAACTCTTGCCGATGCCACGGAACTGACTGGCTTTCCCTTTAATCCCAAAAGGGTAATTATACATCCTCCTTTTGTACTTCTGCAAGGCACATAGTAGTCTAACTTTGGTGATGGAAGGGAATTCTAGGTATTTCCCCCAGTAACAATGAGGACCCAAGAATGTCCAAGTTACGAATGGTGCTCCCATGACATTGTTAGTCTTCGCTTTTCCTGTAAGTGATTGCAGAGCTGGACCACTGTTTGGTGAATTAATACACTGCTTCCTGTAGCCATTATATACCTGTGGTGAAGGGGGTGGATATTATATGGAGGTCAGATACCAAGCAAATAGGCTGCTTTATCCTAAATTTTGGTTCAGCTGCACATATCCAGGCAAGAGGAGTATAGAGCATATAGATATTGAATTTAATTAGTAAATGTTCTGTAATACCTGTGTGGGTCAGAGGCATGAAACCTTCTTGAGCAAAACATATTAAAAGAAGGAGAGTATGATATCAGTCCATACTGTCTTTTGCAGCTAAAAATGAACTCAACTAGTGTTTATTTGAAAATGGCCACCAAATTTGAAACTAATTATTTTGATTTTCATTTTTGTTCAGTGGCCTGTTGGGAGTCCTACTGAAAAAAAAAGTAGGATGAGCAACCTGCATGCGCTGAATCATGTAATCACAGCTCTAAATGCAAATCGGATTAAAAGAATTTGGAACTCATTTCCTCATTTTCAATCTTTCAACATAAAAAGTCTTCTTGAAACAAAACAAATATGTGCAGAGATGGTTTAAAAAGTTGACAAAATCTACATGAGTCTTTGTTTTACAGTAAGAACTGCTATTTTAATTCTGGGTCTCAAAGTTCAAACTGATCACATTTTAAAGAAACATCTGGGAGGAACAGTTCTCAAAATAAAGCTGTGATATTAAGAGTAGCTGATGGTAAATAGAGTCTTACACTTAGAATTCTCTGAATACGGTCACAATCTAGAATTCTACATTTCAATCTATATTGCTGGTTAATACTAAAATGAAAAAAGAAAGAAAATACAAAGTAATCCAATCCAGTGTTCTACTTAGTGAGCAATTCAAGAACAGTACTTAAGAGTCAGAGCCATAGGGATGTAAAACAGACCCTTCGGTCCAACTTGTCCACGTCAACCAAGTTTACCTGCTCATCATTTTAACTGTACTAGTATAGTGCACTGGGAGCCAAAAGGGAAAAAAAAAAAACAACTTATAAACACGGGAAGTCCTGCCACCAATCCAAGGGAAATGGTCTTGCACACGCACAAAGACCGCCGACTAATAATGCTTCTGCGCAGGCACGGCAAGAGCTCCCCTCATGTCTTGGCACAAATAACCCATTTCTAAATGACAGAATTTAACAAAAAACCACAATAATATTTAGAATTAATATAGTAATATTTAATTTCTTTTCCATGGAAATGAAGGCAAAGTTGTTAGTTTGTTGAGTTTAAGCTGTTCAATTTCTTTAGCGATGCAATGCTGTTGAATGATTAAAATGACAAATGCTTGAAAAAGATATGAAAGAGAAATTGATTGCATAAATGACTTAAATGCAACATTTTCACAGTCCTTATTAATGGGGTATACATTGATTACTTACTTACATGGTTGGATTAAATCCGTCAGACTAGAATTTCACTCACCTTCAGACCTTGCCAAGGTAAACTACCACGCAGGAAATACATAAACATGTGTCCTAATGCTTCAAGGTCATCCCTTCGACTTTGTTCTATAAAGAAAAAAAGAGTCAAGTAAGCAAATTCACCTTGGCAAAGTTAACAAAGTTGGCAAATTCTTTAACTAGTAAAATCCAGCCATTTGTTTCAATGATGTTGCATTTTTCAGGAAGCTTCACATAATTACTGGAGTAAAGATGCCAGTAATTTGATTTCTGACACCACCCTGTATAACATTCGAACGCAAGAACAGGAGCAGAGGAGGCTGTTAAACTCTTGTCGAACTGCTCCATTCAATTTCAATCTAATGAAAGCTTTCACTTCTCAGTAGATTGATAGAGGAACTGTGTCAAAAATCATTATTTCCTTTTCAAATTATACAAGTAAGAAATTACCTTTGCCTAGGTGTGTATTTATGCTCATATAGCGTGCTGTCCCAGTTAAGCTCTTGTGCTCTCGGTATGGGATGTGCTTTTTGGTCTCTGGATCTATGTATTCTTTGGCAAGGCCAAAGTCTATGATATGAATGGTATGTTGTCGTTTGCTCCCTGGTCGGCCTACTAAGAAATTCTCTGGTTTAACATCTCTGTATATCAAACTTTTGCTGTGTACAAATTCCATTCGTGTAATCTGAAAAGACAAGGTGACAACTTGGATTAGGCAGTCACTTCAACACTGCAGTGTTAAGTCAAAATTGCAGAGCAAATTCAAAAAACTTAGTTCATCATTGCAGTAAACTAGAACTGCTTTAAAGTAGTAATTAAGATTAAAACCAAAATTTGTCACTCCATACAATTTCTTTTCTCCACACTCCAATTCTCTATCAATTTTTGTATAACTCTCACACGTTCTCCCTCATACCTACATGTTTCATTTTAGATGGAGATGAAAGACATAACTCACTCCACTCCGCTCTGCTCTGCTCCAACGGGAGTCTAAAAGTCTAAGCCCAAGTCTAAAAGCACATTATACTGCACCAGTGTGACAATTTTCCACTCTTCACCTTGATTAACTTGTGATGTTGATAAGATTGACAATTGCTGGCTGTATTTGAGTTCATGTTCAATCATTCTAAAAGCTGTCCAAAGCTACTTCACAATGGGTCCTTGCACCAAATGAAGGAAAATTTCTTCTCATCATTCATTTGAATAAAGATGCGCAAGCTGAAAGTCAAATGAGGAAACACTGCACTTTAAACAAATCTGCAACAAGGAGATTGTGGGGATAGCAGGGCCTTAATTATAGTCTTGGAATGACTTTAGAGAAGTTCTACACAATTTATGGATTTGGAGTAATATCAAGTTACTCCTGTAAGGGAGACACAGTGGCATTGTGAAAATATCACAGGACTAGTAATCCAGAAACTCAGGCTAACGTTCTGGGGCCGTGTAGATGGTGATATCTGAATTCAATAAAAATCTGGAATGAAAAGCTACAGATCATTGCTGATTGTTGTAAAAACTCATCTGGATGATTAAATGTCCTTTAGGGAAGGAAATCTGCTGTTCTCATCTGGTCGACTCCAGATTCACAGCATTGTGGTTGACCTCTTAACTGCCTGCTGTGTGAGAAATGTTGGTTGAACCAGAGATGTCCACATCTTGTAGATAAACAAAAATAAATTCTAAAATCCAAGGATTGTTCACACCAATGTAAAACTTAGAATCCATCTTCTTGGGAAAAAAAAGCAAGTTATTTAGTGGTGAACAAGGGAATTTTCTACAGGATTTTTCTTTCTATTTTCTACAAGCAGAGAAATTAGTTTTGTTCCTTGAGGGTTATGGAATCTTCCACAACAGAGTTTTAGGACATCAGGATGAGGGAAGTGTCCTTGTATACTGTTCGCCAAAATGACTGTGGCAAGTTTCTGAAACTCAGTGACATATTTTCATCAAAGTTGTAGAAACTATTTTATATCACAGAAATAAATGTTAAGCAACTGGAAAGACATGACTGTGAAACCAAGATATCTCCCCATCGACCACAGCAGTTCAAGAAGACAGCTCAATACCTCCTTTCAAGGGTAATTAAGGATAGGCAATGAATGGTGGCTCTACCAGTGTCATTTAAGCCAGTGGGTAAATCAAAAATAAGTATGGATGATGTCACTGATGGCAGTTTAATTTACAGTTGTAATACTTCACATATTTTATTTTTCAGCAAAATTTGCAACTGTCAATTGACATTTATTAGCTTCTACTTCTATAAAATAGAAACAGACAGACAACTACCACTATTTAGTTAACCATACTTACCAACTGTATGGCTATCATTAGTACAGTTTTAATGGAAAACGTTCGATCACAAAGATCAAATAAATCCTCCAAGCTAGGTCCCAGCAATTCTAATACCATGGCATTGTACTTTCCACAAGGGCCAAAGTAGTAAACCTGAGGAATTCCCTCTAAAAAAAGCAAAGTATGTATTAATAAACAATTCCACTTCATAAAATGAAAATTTCAGTACACCGTAATAAACAAAAAGCAACACCACGAAGAATATGTGCAATTTCAAGAATATAATGAACAATTCATGTATCTAATGCAGAGACATCAAGATAGTAAGCTTTAACTTTTGGAAGACCTTTTGATATTCATGTTTCTTTGATTTGGCTAAGCAAAAAGAACGTACGGTACGCTGAAGGCAAAGATGACATCTTTCAGTTTGAACCAAGACCAATTCGGGTACGCTCCAGTCAAGAAAACAATGATATAGCACAGTCAGGTTGCTGCTGTACCCTAGCATGTTTTAAAACTCAGAATACAGGCAGAACGTTCAAAATCAAGGGGGTATGATTTCCTTTATTATGACAAATTATATGCTAATGTACTTGCGTATTGGAAATATTAAGTAAAAGGTATTTTTGTGTAGACAAACAAAAGATGAATTTTTCAAAAAAAGTTAGGAACCTGGGGATTTGATTGTATTATAGAAAACGTTTTAGAAATCTGAAAATCTTCAAAAAAGATTTCACTATGCATTTTGATTAAAAACTGAAAGTGCAAATTATAAAACCAGCTTTCTAATCATAAAATCAGCAAGGGACATACTGACCAGCATAGTTCAATGGCTTAATTTGGCTTTGTAATTTTTTACCTTGAAGAGAAAATTTAACTTCCACAGATATTTACATGTCGCCAAGGGCTTTTTTTTTGGCTAGATGTACAGATCTTGACATCCACATACTGAAATCTATATACTCTAATCCATTTAGCATGTGATCAAGGGAGGCTCTAACAGGGATTATGATATCTTTCATGGTTAATAGCTGCTTGATATTCACATTTGTAAGCTCACATGAAAGATTTATGAACTTGTTCAGCCACATTCCAACAGCAACCAGTATATCTAATAGAAACACAAAACATGGAGGACGAAACGTTTTTTTTTTAGAAAACGGAAATATCAGCACGACTCATCTTTTAGGATGATTTGTTATGAAGTTTTGTCAATAGGCAATATTGAGATTATTATCCATCTGATTCATCTTACTTTACAAATTTCAATAATTTAAATGTACCAGTTTTTCAAACAGAAAGCAATCATAATTTTATACCAATCAGATTCTATGAGCATTTATCCAAATTTTTCACATTTACACACAACTCATCTGCCCACTCAACTTGTTCAAATCACATTGAGGCATCTCTGCATCCTCCCTACAGTTCACCCTCCCATCCAGCTTTGTTTTCTGAAAATCTGGAGGTATTAAAACCATAAGAAATAGGGAACAGGAGAAGGCTGTTTGGCCCCTCAAGCTTGGTGTACAATTCAATAGGTTCATGTCTGATCCAATATTCCTCACGTCCACTTTCCTGCCCTGTACCCAAAACACTCGTTTCCCTTATTAATTAAGGATTTACCATCACATGCTTAAATATACACAAGGACTCTATCCCCACAGCTGTCTGTGGCATGGAGTTCCAAACACACAACTCTCAGAAGAAATTCCTCCTCATCTCATCTTAAATTGGCACCGTTTTATTCTGAGACTTTGCCCTCTGGTCCTAGACCCACTCATGAGGGAACATCCTCTCAGCATTTACTCTATCAAGGTTAAGAATTCCATGTGCTCGAATGAGATGATCTTTAATTCTTCGAAATTCCAATAGTAGAGTCAATCAGTTGAACCCTTGCTCTTAAAACAACTCCTCCACACCAGGGATCATCCTAGTGAATCTTCCCTGAACTGCCTCCAATGAAATATCACTTCTCAGCTAAGCAGACCAAAACTGCTCACAGTACTCCAGTTCCTGATATAACTCATTAACATACCATACTGAATATTGGAATTCAAGCACTGATCCCCGTGATCCCTTGTCACTGCCTTGTCCACTAACTAGAAGTCTTGCCCCCAGAGCATTAGCCTGGAGTTCTGAATTACTACCCCCAGTGACATTACCACAATGCCACTGCTTCTCTGTCCCCATTTACTCGCAAAGATCATTTGCTAAATTGACAACTTCTATCTCAATCGTATTGCTCATTGGTCATTCCTGCCTTAATACATCTGTTGCTAAAAACCTCACACATAACTTTGTTACCTCAAGCCTCAACCATTCCAAATGTCCTTGCTGCCCTACTTGATTTATATAAAACAGTAATTTTCACCATGCCCATTTCACCAATCACCCGTGTTTGCTGACCCATATTGCCTCCTGGGTCCAGTAGCATCTGTAGTTTAAAATTTGCATTCTGGTTTTCAAATGCATCCACAGCCTTGCCTTTTCTTAAAAATCTACAATCTTTACAATTTTGGCTTCCTGCACAACCTTGATTTTCATTATGAGAAGCAATCCTAACAACATGATTTGCAAACAAAAACTCTAACCATGAAACAACTTGCATAGAAATAGCATCTTTAATGCAGGATATTCTAAAATATTTAAAATAAAGCACCAAAACCAAAGAAAAAGAAAGAATTAAAGGAAATAATTACTAATTAAAATCATAATCCTACTACATAGGGAGCTCCACAGTTTTCTACAGTACGGATCCAAAGGAAATAAAAAAATTAAAAATATCAATCCAAAATGATGTCATCCAAAATGTATTTTAGTTTTTGAAAAAATCTGAATGCAGCTGTTACAAAGGATCCAACAAGTTAACCAAAGAAGATTTATTTTATTGTAATGTTCACGATAATTTGAAAAGGAGATTTATTTTCACATTAATATTGTTGGGGAAGATTAGCTTAAAACCATATTAAAGAGAAATAACAATAAAACTGAGTTGCCTGGAAACAGAAGTCATAGAAATTATAAAAGATGAACATGTATGAGTCGGAAATGTACAGAGAAAGAACAGGATTTAAAGAATTGGAGTCAAGCAAGCAAAAACCTTGAAGCTGACAAGGAAATTTAAAGTAGCAAAAGAATAGGGGCCATAAGTTCTCATTCTCAGAGAACTCCTAGACGCAATGCTTAAAATCAACTTATTTTAAAGCAGAAATATTCAAGATATTGATTTTCCAGCTTATTATACAAAAGACAGCATTTACAAACAACCACCTCATGAATTGTGAAACAAATTAAACACAGTCAGTTCTTACCTGCATTTCCCAGCTGTTTGTAGAATCTGTACTCCAAATGAAGTTGTGGGGCCCTGGATTTTATAGGTTCCTAGGTTGCACACAAAATTACTATTTTTAGAATTTGTTGAATGAATTGTGAACACACTGAAGTTTGAATTTCTCTAACTGGTTAAAGTTTGACATTAAGCCAAATTTGGTCAATGGTGAATTGTGATGGAACAAGGGCATATTTTTATTTTAAATAAAAAGGCGTAGAGCTGGATGAACACAGCAGACCAAGCAGCATCAGAGGAGTAGGAAAGCTGACGTTTCGGGTCTAGACCCTTCTTCAGAAGGGTTTTCAGAAT